GAACCCCTAGTGAGGAGGGGATGTATATGGATGCACAGGTATACTATAGTATATATGGTCAGATGGAACCCCTAGTGAGGAGGGGATGTATATGGATGCACAGGTATACTATAGTATATATGGTCAGATGGAACCCCTAGTGAGGAGGGGATGTATATGGATGCACAGGTATAATATAGTATATATGGTAAGATGGAACCCCCTAGTGAGGAGTGAATGAATATGGATGCACACAGGTATACCCAATAGTGAATGTAATTAAAATGACAATTAAATTTCCTTTTGAAAATTCATAACTGTAGTCTTGAAACCTTTTTTTGATCAATAATGTGGAATATGTCGACTTTTTCCGGTTTTGAAAGTGTTTAATCCTGACAAAGTAAATTATACCCTTCATGTTACTTTTATAGAGACTCCACATATCACCAGAAAAGGCTATTAATGAGTACCGTTTTGAATCGGACATACCAATCACCTCTTTAGTCCCTTGAAGTTAATTCTAGTTCTAATTCACAATTATCCAAAAGAAGTAAAAAATAAATCAAATTCTTTTTTCCCTCACTTGTGAAAGACACTTTTTTTCTCTTAAAAATGTATACCAAAGCATACTAGTCATAAAACTGAAGAAAATAATATACCTTCACTCCCTTGTTCCCCTCCCATCCGAAAAAAATATCTATCAATCAATCAACCAATCAAATCATCTAGGCTGGGTTAGATTATCTTCACACAAGAGCTGACTTGAGCAGAGACAAGATAATTGTGTTCGGACGATCTTTAGGAGGTGCTGTAGCCGTAGATTTAGCTTCTAGGTTAGTAGATCCAGGTTTATATATTTAGTAGATCTTTAGGTGGTGCTGTAGATCTAGCTTCTAGGTTAGTAGATCAAGGTTTATATATTTAGTAGATCTTTAGGAGGTGCTGTAGCCGTAGATCTAGCTTCTAGGTTAGTAGATCCAGGTTTATATATTTAGTAGATCTTTAGGATGGTGCTGTAGATCTAGCTTCTAGGTTAGTAGATCAAGGTTTATATATTTAGTAGATCTTTAGGAGGTGCTGTAGCCGTAGATCTAGCTTTTAGGTTAGTAGATCCAGGTTTATATATTTAGTAGATCTTTAGGAGGTGCTGTAGCCGTAGAATTAGCTTCTAGGTTAGTAGATCAAGGTTTATATATTAAGTAAAACTTTAGGAGGTGCTGTAGATCTAGCTTCTAGGTTAGTAGATCAAGGTTTACATATTTAGTAGATCTTTACGAGGTGCTGTAGATCTAGCTTCTAGGTTAGTAGATCAAGGTTTATATATTTAGTAGATCTTTAGGAGGTGCCGTAGATCTAGCTTCTAGGTTAGTAGATCAAGGTTTATATATTAAGTAGACGAGTTTGAAAATATTTTGATTTGCTGACGTTGATGTTTGTTTTTCGAATCTTTTTAAATCAATTACTATAACAATCTTATTATTATAATGAAAAATGTTTTATCCTTATTATTCAATTAGGTTGAAACATTATTGTGTAATCTGTTTAAGAACCAAAATAGTCATCTTCTAGGAAATCTAAGAAATGTTTACAAAAGGTATTTTTCACAAAAGTCTCAAATTATAATAAAAGTTAAAAAATCAAGCAATTTAGCATAAATTGATATCAATAGAACTATCTAGAACTCCTGAGTTATAAATGTTAAAATTTAGGAAGTTCTTTACAAATGTTTTAGATTTTATAGAAAAATAAATTTTTGGTTCTTGAAAAATGTTTTAGATTTTATAGAAAAATAAATTTTTGGTTCTTGAAAAATGTTTCGCCCTTATTATCTTATATTCATTTTACTCTAAAGGTATATGTCGTCGTAATTTAAAATACCTGTCCTGCCTCCTACTCTAAAGTGGTATTTATCATTTACAACGGTATCCGGGATCTTGCTCAAGTATGAAGTAAAAATCTTATTTTTCTCCCCGAAAATCTATTACTTGTAATTTTTTTCATCAGACAATGAATAAAATTGTCAGAATTTAACACTTTAAGATAGGAAAAATAAGACTTTTAACATCCTCAGTTTTACACATCTATAAAGAAATACAGGTCAATCGAATACATCTTTATTTGATTGCTTTAGGTCTCAGAATACATCTTTATATGATTGGTTTAGGTCTCAGAATACATCTTTATATGATTGGTTTAGGTCTCAGAATACATCTTTATTTGATTGGTTTAGGTCTCAGAATACATCTTTATTTGATTGGTTTAGGTCTCAGAATAAGGAGAGAATTGGTGCTGTTCTTTTAGAAAATACATTTACCTCAATACCTGATATTGCCAGGATTATTTTTCCATTTAAAATAATCAAATTTATTCCAGGTAAAATCTTATTTTCATCAATAGGTTCGAATTTATTTCCAATAATAAGTTCGATTGTATTTTTATTAATAGGTTCAAATATATTTCATCAATAGGTTCAAATATATTTCATCAATAGGTTCGAATATATTTTCATCAACAGGTTCTAATATATTTCATCAATAGGTTCGATTCTATTTCATCAATAGGTTCGATTCTATTTCATCAATAGGTTCGAATATATTTTCATCAATAGGTTCAAATATATTTTCATAAATAAATTCGAATATATTTTCATCAGTAGGTTCTAATATATTTGTATCAATTGGTTCAAATATATTTTCATCAATAAATTCGATCATATTTTCATCAAAAGGTTTTTGTGAAACGGACGGATTTAAAAAGCTATACCCTGAAATTAGCTTTACCAATTTGACGCATTTGTAAAACTTCTATAGTTAAGAATTTTTTTGTTTTTTTTTTGAGGGCAAAATGCTGTATTGTAGTAATAATCTTATTACATTGTGAAAATTTCCTTTATTTAAACAAAGTAAAGTTATGTAGAAACATAAAACATCATTTTATTGTTTACATAAAATATACTCAAGCCATAACTTTATTGTGACAATAGTTTGGGGACACAGCTTAGTCTGTAAAAGTCAACCCAAGCTATTTTATATTTTTAGACCAACCGAACCGAAGAGCATTTCCCTGGTTCTACTAAGTTTTCCAATCAATATTTGAGTCAAATCAGTCAAGGGGTTCGCGAGTTATGATCGAACATACAAACAAAATACAGTTACGAAATTAAGCATAACGATGCTATAATTCTTCGCGAAGATCTCGAAAATGAATAACCGGCCATGTTTATTAGAACACCCTGTAAAAACTAATCAATGCTCTTGTATATTATCGTTAATGGATGATTAATTTTTAGTTTGGTTTTACAAGAATCAATTTAAGTCTGGTAAAAAGATCTGCAGATTAACTCAACCTACACTATTCATCTCGGGTTTAGCGGATAAGGTAAGCAATAAATGTAAATCAATTTAGCTAAACAAAATTAAATATTTTATTTTGAAATACTAGGCTTTAAGGACGCTTGGCGCCACCTTTTCGGTAAATAAGTAGGCCATTTTAAGTTATTTAAAAAATGTTGGCGAATTTTTCTTTTAGATTTGGCGCATTTACAAAAAAATTTAATTTTTTTCCAGGATTTTTTTCTCCAATTTTGATGTTCCATAAACCTTCCCTTTGTCATGTGAAGGTTCCCCACAAAATTTGGATCCGAATGGTTCATTCGTTTTGTCGTTTATTGTATACAAACGGACAGACAGACAGACAAGCAAAGTATAAATATAGATTGTATACTCACCGTTTAAAAAAAGTTTTTAAAAAGTCTTAATAGATTCTATTTTCACAAATAATTCCAGAAAACCCCACCAACAGTGATATATTTCCAGGATTTCGATAGAAAAATTGACAGACGATTATGTATTGCATTCTATTTAATGTTTCTGAGTTAAAACACAACAATTCGAAATTTTAGTTTTAAAATATATATATAGTGTTTATATACTTACTGGATTTGACAATTCTAGAACGAGTTTAGCTTAACTAAGATTGTTACAGTTGTATCCCTCTTTTAATTATAACGTCCTTGTATTCTGGTTGCAGTGCTCCTATTAAAAGATCCAGAGGGAGANTTTATATACTTACTGGATTTGACAATTCTAGCCCCTAGATTAAATAATTCTACATTATTACAGTTAATCCCTCCGAAAATGATGACGTCCTTGTATTCTGGTTGCGGTGCTCCCATTAAACGTTTAGCCCGGTTTCCTGACGGGAACCATAATGAAACCTGGTCTTGTTCTCAGTACTATCAAACCATCAACTACTTCCTAGACGAGGTCAGTTCTATGTTTATTCCGAATAATCAATGGATTAATAATGGCAGAATTTTATAAAAGGACTTTAAAGCTTCATTTGCAAATTGTAAATACTTTTTTCAATCTCAGCTTAGTAAAAGTCATAGGGTGTCCCTAAAAGTCTAATTGATAGATTGATTGGTTTATGTATACACATCAGAATTAAGCGACGAATTATCAATCGTCTTTGTTGCACATTAGCGTTGAATTACTTAATTTCAATAGTCAAAGTATAGTTACGTCTGCTAGAGTAAATTTTATGTAAACCGTGAAAGACTTTGTAATTCTACATACAAGCCAGGTTGGAATTCTAAATATGTATATTCTAAGCTGTATATCTGCACAGTGAGCCAGGATGGATTTCTAAATATGTATATTCCAGGCTGTATATCTGCACAGTGAGCCAGGATGGATTTCTAAATATGTATATTCTAAGCTGTATATCTGCACAGTGAGCCAGGATGGATTTCTAAATATATTTATATTCCAGGCTGTATATCTGCACAGTGGGCAAGGATGGATTTATAAATATGTATATTCCAGGCTGTATATCTACACAGTGAGCCAGGATGGATTTCTAAATATGTATATATCAGGCTGTATATCTACACAGTGAGCCAGGATGGATTTATAAATATATGTATATTCCAGGCTGTATATCTGCACAGTGAGCCAGGATGGATTTCTAAATATGTATATTCCAGGCTGTATATCTACACAGTGAGCCAGGATGGATTTCTAAATATGTATATTCCAGGCTGTATATCTACACAGTGAGCCAGGATGGATTTATAAATATATGTATGTTCCAGGCTGTATATCTGCACAGTGAGCCAGGCAGGAAAAGAACTGATTCTCCAACCTCCCTTGTGGCAGCTTCGAATATTCATAACGTCTAGTTTATTAGTTTCCTGTCATGATTTTTATAATATGAATAATAGGTGAGTGGACGTGATTTAACGTGACCCTTTGTTTGTAAAGGGAAATGTCTGATTAACAATGGCACGTTCTAAAGCTTTATGTGATGAAGAATGATTGAGATATCAATATTTTAAAATTATTTGAATTAATTATTCTCAATTGCGGATTATCGAAAAGAAAGATGGAAATTTTTAGAGTTAAACATTTTACGCCAGAAAAAGCAACTGTAATTTGATTTTTTGTTTCGTTTTAACTTCTTGGTCGTCATTAGATGGTTCTAGATCTCCGCATTAAAATTAGAATTTCGAGATGATTAATAGTTTTCCGCACAATCACATCGTGTAATAGAGGAAGAAACAATTTTAAATTTGGTCAAAATTTGACACTAAGTTTAAAATATCGTCTAAAAGCTGAACACTTTAGAATTGTGGCTATGGAGATCAAAGCTTGATCTCCTCTTTTTATTAATCTCAAGTTTAATTAAATTTTAAATTAATATCCGGGAAATTGTAATCAGATGTCGATTGTAGAAACCGAACAGCCAATCAGAAACCGAGAAATTTCTAATTTTGGCGCGCAATCAAATAGAGAACTCTTATTGGTTCTAAGACGGTAGGTAAATCTAAAAGAGAGAATCAAGCAGAAAATCCAAAGAGTCGAGTCTATAGAGAAATCACAATCGAAAATAATTTGTTTTTTTTGATTATAAGCATTTATGTAAAATTATTTCTTTGCTTTAAGGGTACCGATGTAAATCAGACATTCCCATCTTTGCATGGAGGATCACTTCAAATTACACATACAGTCTTGTTAAGTCGCAGGTGCTAGCCAAATAAACCTGCAAACTTGAATCTTGAAATTTTTTAGTTAGATTTTTTTTATAAAATTTGTGTTTGAAATTTATTTGTATTTGTGTGGTTAAGGGTGACACATTAAGGGGGTCAAATGAACAAAATAATTGGGTGCTCTGAAGTCAGATTTTGCATTGTGAATCTTGGGATCTTATGCAGATCTACAGATTAATTTCATTCCTCTTCTATACCCCGTGATGGGCATACCCTGCAGGGATAATATCAATCGAAAAATCAAGCGATGATCCTCAAATTTAAAAGTTGATAAGAGGCACTTTAAAAATCAGATTTTGCATTAAGTTTAAGCCTTGTATATTGGCAGTTATTTTTTACTAATTCTAAACATTAGCTGTAGAAATATACTTTAATTTTTAGAGGGTTCTTGTGTCACTTAATAGTTAATATTGTGTTTTGTATTAATAGTTTAAATGCTACTCCACCTGTGATTAAGTTTGAAAATATGATATATTTATTTTACCTGTCACTAAAATATTCTTGTTATAGGATCTACTGTAACTTTAATAAATTACTGAACTATTTTTTGTAAAATTTGACATTTCAAAAGATTGAACAAAATTAGAATTATTAGTTTGAAAAATTGAAGGTCCGTGATATCAGCAAAGAGAATTGAATATATATTAGAGGGGATGAATTTACTAGAAAAAAGTGTAAAACGGCCATTTTGTTGTACTGTTTCCATACTGCAGGTGTACTTCACATATTTATGCTATATAACATTTTGGGCCCTGGAACATCATTTTATAGAAAATCTAAAATTAATATTAAAAGAAAACCAAATAATTGACCAACGATCATTTCACATAGACTCTATGCCTTTCACTTTACAAACGATGATTTTCCGTTATAACTATAAATCAAATGATTTTTTTTATTCACCTAATTCATTATAAAGTTGATTTAACAGCTTTAAAAAATTCGAAATTACATACTGTATTAATGTACTCTACTGCAGATAATTTGTGAACATTTACATGGTTTGTACACTTTGAACTCTCTTTCAGGCTGAAAGGGACTGAAAAATTTCATACCGAGAGATTCTCTAAATTACCCTCTAATATATATTCTATTCTCTATGGATATCAGGTTGCAAAGCTATCATAAGATTATAAAAGGTTCTATTATGTGTTTGACTATTGTTCACTTCAGAATGTTTTTGTTACTATGACTGATGCAAAATTTGTTGGGTGTATTAAAAGATACATATATTGAAAGTGGATTAAATTACTGAAGACACAAAAAACAGATTCTAAGGTTTTGTAACAACCCTCGATGGTAAAATAAGTTTTTGTTTTCATCGAGAAATATTTAAACATATTTTCAATTCTTTCACGAAATGCAATTGAAATTTCTCTGCCGGCAACTTGAGTGATTTTATTAAAAATCCGCCATAAAGATTATTTATTTTTAGAGTTAAACATAAAATACAAAATTAACTTTTTAATAAAAGATGAAAACCCTCAAAAAATGCTGGAATAAGAAAAAAGATTGTTTTATTTGATTTTATGGAATACAATATGTTGATTCATGAGAAGAGGTTGGATTCAATTAGATTTAATAGAAGTAAATGGACTTCTTCTTTAGATAATGATGTTCTTTTCCTTAAGATCAAAAACAGGGGTTTCCACTAAACATCATAATTGAGAATCGAAATAAAGATTGTCTTAAATCAGGGGTGTGGAGATAGAATTAAGCGGCTACTTTTTTCATTCTTTTTGATGCATATAAGTAATTTAATTACCCTACTTACCCAATAAAACCCTAAAACCTATGTATTTTGGGCAAAAAATTTACTTTCAAAACGGGGGAGGACGAAAAAAAATGTGGGCGAAAAACATCCACCCCTGTCTATAATCTTGGAATATTATGTTAACAAGCGTTGAGTAAAAACAATGTCTTTTCTATTGATAAAATCTTGATAAAATGCAAAAATTCAGATTTTTTCTTAACTTTTAATCACTAATGAAGGTACGAACTAATGTGCCTAGGGTTTCCAGCTAAATGTGGAATTCGTTTTGCGAACATTTCGCAATTGCACGCGTTTTTATCAAAGAAGATTAGAAACATTAATTGAAAAACATAATTAAAAAATAATTAAAAATACAAGTCTGAAAATAGTGGTTAATTCACAAAAACGCAAAGATAGAAAAATTATTTGCGAAATGTGAAGTCACTTAGATTAGGGAGGGGGTGCAGAGCTGCCATGAGTCCCGCAAAATGACCTTTGTAGTCGAACAGATTTGCAGAATGACCTCCTAACCCATCAAAATCCTCCCCTTGCTTACACTACGTCTCCGAGCCTCCGCAACTCTTGCTCCACATGTCCAGCATTCTTGTCTCCATTAACAACCACCGAAAGCCTTTTTTTCAAAAATTCTCAACATGATCAAATAGTTTTCAATAATACATGAATAATTTGTCTTAAAAAGTCAACTTCATTTTTACAATTTCCTAAGCTTGTGCATAACTATTGCAGCTTTATATAAAGATAGACAAATTTTATATCATTTCACAAGTGTATCACATCATCACATGTACAAATCTAACTACCCACCTCCTTGTAACTGCAGAGAAACCAGATTGATTGGCTTTCAGGTCATTCTGCGAATCTGGAGGCTTTGCAAGTCATTTTGCGAGGCTCATGGCGGCCCTGCACCCCCTCCCTCTTGAGAAATAACTAGACAATTCTGAAAGCTAGTCATTAAATATTTAGACAGCAGAGACTTTAAAGTGTCGCAACGCCTTGGCCTTTGGTTTTACCTCACAATTTCACTTATACTTTTTTGCAGCCCTATACATATAAATTATAAAACGCAGTGCGCTAAAATCTCACCTAATCTTACCTTCCTATCTTTGTTTTATTTGCATTGATAAACTTTTTTCTTTATGTAAAATTTGCAATATACATTTGGTGTTATCCAAGGAGTATGAAATAGAATGGAGATACAACTGACGCGGCCCGCCCTACCATATGATTATACATGCTTTGCAGGGTACTCCATTTGTATAAGAAATATTCAGAATAGGTGTACATCAGACAAATATCTCTTATACAAATGGAGTACCCGTCTGCAAAGCATGTATAATCATATAGTATAAGGGTGGGCCGCGTCACTTTTATCTCCCTTCTAGTTTATACTCCTTGGTGTTATGACGCATAAACAAAGTGATAAATCAGCAACTAACCCAAGGGGATAAAATGCAAAGCGTATGACAGAGATGGTGCTGCTTTCAATTTTTAACAAGATGATTTGCAGTTGTCAAGATGATTCTATAATGTTCAATCAAAACTTCTAAGATTATTAAAATCTGAATATTTTTAGAATAGGGATTTAAGGAGTACGTGTTTAAAGGAAACCTCTGAACACACATTTATGGAAATTTTCTAATTCATAATAATTTCAAGAATCTCAGACGACCTTCGCTCCGAGCCATACCAAATAAAGAAAGAAAATGAGGATTCGTCTGCACTCTGCTACGAATTTCTCCACGTTAAATTGATATTCAACGCAGTTCTCAGTCTAAACATTTCTAGTTATACTGTTATTTTTATTTACTTCAATATTCTAATTTTACTTGAACAAGTAGAGCTGAACATCAATTAGGTGTACAAAGAGCTGGGTGTGGGGACTCACCAGGGAGTAAGGAATATTAGGGAGATATAACTGGCACGGTTCGCCCTACCATATGATTATTCATGCTTTGCAGACGGGTACTTCATTTCTATATGAAATATTTGTCTGATGTACATATTCTGAATATTTCTTATACAAATGGAGTAACCGTCTGCAAAGGATGCATGATCATATGGTAGGGCGAACCGCGCCAGTTATATCTCCCTTCTATTCCTTACACTCTGGGACTCCCCCAAGTATATGGACAGGTGTTAAGGCCCCAACGGGTGCTTGTCTCTTTGAAAGAAAAAATTAAGCATATGAATGAAAATATTCTGATACACACAGAACGTACTTGATTTGCAGTCAGTTTGGTGTGCTAGGAGTCCCACGAGTTACTACCTACATTTATAAATAATATTCGGATTAAAGTAATTTAGAAAACATAGATAACCTTTTATGAACTTTAAAACCTTTAATTCATTTTGGGAATTAGAAAATTTATAAATACTTCTGCTGAAATAGTTCATTTATTTTTAACCCTCTTCCGGCTAAGTGGGCTAAATCTTTAAAAAAATGTTTGCTTTTTGTTAAGCTATAAGGGAAATAAACTATCCTTATGTTAAAATGTACATGTTTTCTTAAAGGGACTGTTAAGGTAAAATAAAAGGGGGTGTAGGCTGAAACATAAAAAATTTAGGTGTTGATCGCGACCACTATTAGTTCTATCTGATGTCCCTGTCTCGGGAAATTGATGTAAAACTGTGTCATATTTCTCATTAGAAATTTGTTAATAAATGTTAGAACCAATGAAGGGGACGGGGGGGTTAAAAAA